GTAGTAGTAGTCGTAGTCGGAGTAGTAGGTCCGCGTCTCGTTCGTGACGCCACATTTTTGTGTATCTCGCATGTATAAAGTGCCACGCTGGCCGCGCATTTCAGGATCTGGAGGGGGCCGGGGGAGGGGTTCCTTTTTTCAGGGCTTTTTGTTGTATCCATCCGGAAGTCTGTTTTAAGAAGGAACGCAACTTGCAAACACAGTCTGAACGTCCCAGGAAAAGCGTGCAGCATCAGGTGTTGCTAGACCCAAATCCCTAAACCCCTAAACCCTAAACCCCCCCAAGCAATAATCCCAGCTTGACCCCCATGGATTTTTTATTACAGACATCCAGTAAACTAATACTGTGTCCCCAAAAGCATAGGCAAGACCCATACACAAGCATACACAAGATCAAATATTCACCCTTCACAAACATCCTACATACCCAAAACCATACGAGAAAAAATCCCCACCTTATCCTAAATCCCCTTACCTTCCAGACCCAAGCCATTAGTCGAGATGAATGGCGCTCGGCTAAGCCTAGAACATCCTAGAACCGCTGCCGCGGGCTGATGGGTTCTGGGGGGTTGGCCAGGTAGTGTTGTCGCTGGTTTAGGTAGGCCTGGCCTAGGTCTTGTTTTTGGATGAATTTCCGCAAAATAAGGTTTGGACCTTCCTTCACCCTAGCCTTTCCCTGTTTTCAGATGCTGATGATGCATTTGCTTTTTTTTTCATGCTTAAATCAGAACTCCTCAAATCCTTGGACTAATGAGGCGCAGCTTGGACTAATAGGACGATGATGAAATTAAATCAGAACTCCTCAAACCCTTGGACTAATGGGGCGCAGCTTGGACTAATAGGGGCGATGATAATCAAATCAAAAATCCTTGCGCTCGCGTATGCCAAACACTAAGAACGGTAGATCTCAGAAAAGAGCTAAAAAAGGAACCAGGTCCGTTCCAGCTCGAATGAGCAAAAACCCATGGTAAAACCATTACGAATGCAACGAGCACGTGGCGTCACGTATGAGACGCGCACCTAGTAATCGAAGTAGTAGTAGTAGTAGTAGTAGTAGCAGTAGTAGTAGTAGTAGCAGTAGTAGCAGCAGTAGTAGTAGAAGTGGAAGTAGTAGTAGTAGTAGTAGCAGTAGTAGTAGTAGTAGTAGTACTAGTACTAGTAGTAGTAGTAGTAGGAGTAGTAGTAGTAGTAGTAGTAAGAATAGTAGTAGTAGAACAATTTGTTTGGAATAATGTTTGGAGCGTTGACGTTTGCAGGAGCAGGCTTACCTTCCCGTACCACACCGGCAGCAGCTCTTGCCAGGTTCACGCCGATCGAGGAGCTGCCCGTCGTGCATGAGCAGGCCATTGTCCAGTTCAGGATCTAGGTGGACCTGCGTTGCTGTGTGGTGGCCTCCGGAGGTCGTGAGCGAAGCTGCGGGCGACAATGTCAAGGCGAGCGTGTCTGCAGAGCCGAACTGAAGCCGAGTCTAGAGGCTAGAGCGTGCGCAATGTGTACTTTGTTCGCTGAAATGAGCTGCAAAGAGCCTTGCGCAAACTACCAAGAGCGCTTACGGTCAGCAGCTATGGCTATGTCAGCTATGTTCTTCTAGAATTTCCCGAGATCTCTCTCCGAGGCCATGGAAGTGACATCCGCCCCGCCTCGACCACTCAAGGCCACCTGTAAAGAGCCTCCTTAAGAATGGGGTAAGGAAGGGCGGTGCAGAAATCTAGGGACGCACGCTGTAGTTGTGGGTGATTCAGCGCAGAGGTTCCAATTCCATTTTGGAGTTGCTTTCTTCCTGCAGAGAACAGATGCCAACTTAGATCCAGCAGAGCGGAAGGCGTATTTTCGTTCAGTCAACTTCGAGTGCGAGCTTTTTTCCAGCGCGTCACGTGCACACGCGCGCAGGGCACTGGCATCAGCTCCAGTACCATAGTGGCCTTTGCCGACCACTCAAGAATCTCAGAGCACTTGTAAACCTGCGTTTGTAAAGATTGTTGGTGATTTGCGCGTGCGCAGCTTTTGCTGTTTATGCTGCTTTCTGCTCTCATCGGTACTGTGCTAGGACATCTTCATGATATGCTGTGCACTTTCTCGCCTAGGTCTTGCCGTCATTGGACTTCGAGCAGCTTGTTGCATCGGACCAAAGCAGCATTTTGGTAGAGGAGGCCGCGTATTGAATGTGACAGATCTCAAACTTGAAAGCTGTCGCGATCCCATGAGCCGTGCAGTGCTATGAGGGGGTGCGCTTGCAGGTCAAAGCTCCCATGAACCAGTTTGCAGTCCGACAGAGCCTGAGCTCTGGGCAAGGATGTAAGGACATCACAGCACATGTTGCTCCACTTTGCGAAGCAATCCCAGTATATCCTAGGAAACTGGCGGCGTGTAAGCTCTTGAGAACCGATAGCTTTGCCCAGGTTCTCTGCGCGTCGAACTTGGTGCGGCTGAACCGGTCAAGGACTCAGCCAGACGTAGAATCACAACCTGAAGCAAAGGGTCCAGTTTAATCTCGTTCCTTGCTGAAGCAGTTCAAGTCCAGGGCGGCCAAGTCAAGTCAGTTGCGAATTTCTGGGATAGGCAACATTTGTAAGCCCGGACTGTTCATGACGCATTGCTCAGCTCTTTCCGCTCTGTGATGCACTTCTCGGTGGCTCCTCGGGACCATGTCATCTGTCATCCCAACATCCTCCTACCAGTTGCAGACCAGAAGAGATGCAGTGACGGTCCACTAGTGATGTATGTAGTCCATGGGCTCTCACGGACCGTTTCAGCCAGTTTCAAGTGTCCAAGTCTTGCAGAACACTCCCGAGACAGATGGCGTCAGCGAAGATTGCAAACAAGTCAGTCTCTTTTGTGGGAAGAGTTGTAACAGGCAACCCAACTCTTCAAGTGCACATGTAAGCGTTTCGTCGCGACACCCGATAGTTGAGCACTGGCTGAGGATGGCGTGGAGATCAGGATGACCATCAAGAATGGTTCATCCAGTGAAGCCAAGGCACGGTGCAAACTCAAAGCATTTGCCGTGCGAGTGCGCCGTGAGTCTGCGATTCGATTTTGTCCTTGACACATGCTGATCGTTGCTGCAGATAGCTGTTCTCAAGCGCCTGGCTAACACTCCCAGCATCCAGGCGTTGAAGGCACAAATTCTCCAAGCAGAGGAAAGCTTTCTAGCTGAGGCCATTTCCGGGGTCGGGAGTGTGATGCAGTACAAGTCAGGCAGTACCCAAATGCTGCATGGTATTCGGACATCTTCTCTTCAGGTATGAAGAGCTGCAGCTGTCACTACCAGCCAATACCAAATCCAGGTTGAACAGAGGCTGGCATCCGCTCAGCTGTTACCCACAAGCAAGGGCCTCAGACTCACAAATCAGCAGATGAGGCTTCCAAGTTGCATCAATCTTTTTTTGTTTTCGATTGAGGCGCGTCCTTCAAAGCGACAAATCTTCAGGTTATGGCACGGAGCTCGGCTTTGCCGTGTCGGTCGGTCATAGAGGCTGCATGGTCCTTGACGAGGTTCGTCACACGGCATCCTTCGAAGAAGGCCCTGTCGACGGGCACTGCTCCCAGCAAGGATGGTTCCAGTCGCCTGACTGCATGAGATCCTGTCGCATCGCAAGTCTTCCGAGGCATGCGACAGCCTCCACCATGGCGCCAGCCGCGACAACAATGTATGCAACTGGCATGACTGGCCTGATTACCGCTGTTTGCAGAAGGCAACGACTTCGAAAGCAGTTATTGCGTGCGTTTCACCATTGCGCCATAGCACATGGTAATATTGGTAGTTCAATGCAGAAGCATTGGCACAAGGAGCTTGCAAGCCATACTTTAAGCTTCCATTTGGACTGACCTTGGCGCGTCAGGCAACGCGATGAGTTCTGTGTGCGCCTCGTGATATCCGTAGGCGCTCACGTCATGCCAGAAATGGTGACGTTTCTGTCCGGCCTGCAGTCTGTAAACAGATCCTTCTAGCACAAAGCAACGTCTGGTTTGATTTTCATCAAAGAGTGGAGATCTTTCCCCAGGCCATGCCAACTGAATCGCAGTGGGCAGGGAGCCTGGCAGTCTTTTCGCCAACTTATCTGACCGCTTGACCAAATTTTGCCAAAAATGTGCTCTTTCAACTTTTGAAGCGAACATCAGGCCACCACCTTCGACACTTCCGCGGAGGCCAGTAGATGGGATTTGGTTGCGCTGCGTCTCCGCTATCCTGTGAATAAAAGATTTCGCATAGACCGCACAGCTAACGCGATCTGGCTGTTGGAGTTAAATGGAGTTCTCGCTAGCATTCCGCATGCTTCTCAGGAGCCGTCGCCGCCTGCCTTGCCTGAAGCCACCGAGGTCGGGGTCGGGGCAGCGCAGACGTGGAAAGAGTCAAGTGCTATCCACTAGACACGGGCCGTTCCTTGTTTTGTTGGAATTCATTGTTGTTCACCCTGAGTATGCCAGCCGCCGGCAGCTTTCAGGATACGGTCGGATACGGCCAATGATGTCAAGAGGTGGTGTAGAGCCGTAAGCTTGTGTCAGCAAGCCATAGGCCCTCTAGGCAGGGTGCCAGCTGAATTCGGACAGATTAGGAATTGTGCAGGCCTTCTCCGCGCTCCATGTCTGCCTGTCGAAAGCAACACCAGCCACCAAGATCCTCCCCTCCAACTTCGGGAATGACAAGCAACTTTTTGTTTTGACGGTTTCGTTTGAGGCAGCAGAGGAGCCGTCACAGCCCGCGCTGCCACAGGTGGGACGGAATGCTGACATGCTGTGACAAAGCACATGTGGCCTGCCACAGCTTAGCGCATATCATGCGAGCACGCACTATTTTGCACAAGACGTAGTTCCACTTGCCCTCAGACAGTGCAGGAGGACGGCAAACTTGCAGAGACGGAGGTGGGTCGGGTGTGGTCTGCCAGTCGTCGGTGCTATTTTTTGTATGGGAATGACTTGTCGGGAAAAGCACACAGACTCATAGATGGTGCCATCGGCGCGGCATGCTTGCAAGGACGACTTCATCCCCAAGCTGCTGTTGGATCCATATGTTCCGGCCTGACTACTGAAGAAGGCTTTATTGATGCAGATATAGCAATTGTGGAACATCTGCTCTAAGCATCACTGAGGCCATGGATGATGGAACAGGCACCAGTCCCATCCAAAGTGCAGTGCCCGTACCCCAGCAACGTTGCGTCCAATTGCACATGCGAGCCCGACAGCTCTTCTGGTGGATGCTGCTCCATTCAAGGTCTGACGGGCGCCTCCGCAAGGCTTGATTTCGTAGATATGAAGGCTAATTGGGGATGAGCTTGCTGGCGCACTTGGAAGGAGCGAGAAGAGGCAGTGGCTGCTGCAAAACGGCGTGCTGCCAAGGCAGTGCTTCTTCCTTTTTTGCCTGGTGTGAGACTCATGGGCGCCAGGCTGCAGCTGCCAACATCCCAGACTTCTTGGTGGATCCCTACGTCATTGCCCTGGCTTGAGGGGACTGCAGCTACCATCATCATAATTACTTTGCTCCCAACAGCTTAGGCTCTGGATGATGGTACCGGAACAAGCCCAATGCAGAGCGCAGTGCCGATGGCTTACAGGAGGGAGGTACTAATATTGCTATTATATCTTATAACTGTTAGTACCGTTGTTGTTATTCTTACCATTATTTCTATTAGTGCGTTTAGTACTATGAGTATTACGTAGTGGTAGTATTACTACCATTATTGCTCCAGCGTGCTGCAGCCAGCGTGGCGCTGGCCTAGATTCGGCTTGATGAACAATAGTCAATAGCAATCGTAATATGAGTATTACAGGCAATATTGGTATTACTACTAATAACGGTACTGCGTTAGTAGTTGTGGCCTGTTTGGGACTCTGTAGGTCGGACGCGAGGCTACGACAAGCCGGGCACCAAACGAGTGATGCAGAGATGTCCCGTGTAACAGTGCTCCTACAGAGTAGGGTTCTATAGAATGGACACTGTTTTCTGGTCATGTTTTGAAATGTCAGCCTGAAATCGCTGAGGAGCGACAAGAAGCCCAATTTGCCACTATCAGACGATCAGCCGAGGAGCTATTTGAGCGGCTCTGCCCTTTCAGCATGATTTGCGTCACATTCCAGGAGGAGTTCTCCAGGGCCGATGCCAACAACGATGGCGCTTGGATCTCAGGATTCATCTGGAAGGTTCCTGATTAGAGGCCGGTATACACCAAGCGGTGCTGTTTTTCAGTACTAGTATCTGCTGAAGGAGCACTAGGAGTCATCACCCAGTGCCGGCCAGGGTTTCAACAAAGCACTATCGGATCTTATGCAACATCATTTTGAGGTTATCACTGCGACGGAATTCGCGGCCTGGGCATACACCAAAGATGGAACTTCAGAGGCCCCAGCCAGCTTGGGATTTTTGTGTATAGTATAATCTACTGGCGCGAATGCCGCCTCGGCGGGGGCGGCAGAGAGGGCTTACACCTGGAGTGCCAGCCTGGTTTTGCTTCCTGCCTCAGCCCCATCGTGTCTGCAAGCAAGCTCCGCGCTGTCAGGGATTGGGAACTTACCTGACCCCCAAGCCTTGTAGATGCAGTTGCCCCAAGCATCCAGCCTCGGCAGACACAAGAATGGTTCTGACTTGGCTAAAGTTGAAGCCTTTGTGTTTCCCAGTCATATACTTGTGGATGTGTTTTGTATCTGTGGCATTCTCCATGCAAAGAGGTCTTCAGCTCCCATTAAGCCAAGCTCAGTTCATCCACCTAGCGCTTCGATATGTTAGGGCCCCGAGGGCTCAAGTTGAGGATTGCTTCGGGGGTGGGAGGTGACAGTCTGTGCCTTATCATGCCTCTTCGCAGTGCTGTCACAGAAATAGCTGCTGATTCAGAAGACGGATAGGTATGTTAACGGATGTCTTGAGCAGGGGAAGAGGCTCCACTGCTCATGTTGCAGGTTGAGCTGGCCACAGTGGCAGCTTCCTTTCAGGCGCCATTGGGACATATTGGGACAGTTGTTGAACCAGAATCCTCTTTGGAACTCCTTCGTTCTGAAACAGCACGCAAAGGACGACGGGATTCTGAGCTTTGCCCGGCGGGCTTGTGGAAAGATGTATGATGAGCTCCAACCTGGTAGCTGCCTTAGACCTCTTCAGCACAGATGCCTGGAGGCTATGGATGCCAACCAGGATGGCGTTCTGTCGAAGGAGGCTCCTATTCTGCCCACCGCCTCTGCAAAAAAGCAAAGATGTTTGAAAGTTGCTTCTTGCTTTTCTGCATGCCAAAGGAGTTCGAAAGCTACTATATGGCCAAGGCAGCTGAGGCGTGAGCTGTGGGCAATCTCTCTATTTCTGCAGTGTGGGCTTTTCAATGTAGCCCAAGTTTGTCGCAACTTCGAATGATCGACTGCTGTGCTACCCCATGACGCACACCTGCACTTGTCGCGACTTGGTTGTTCGAAGGAGCTCCCAACGCCATCAGAAGGTTGCTTGGCTGAGACGGAATCGAGAGCAGCCTGCATCTATCACGCTGTCAGGGATGGTAGGGGCGTCGTGACAGTACACAGAGCTTGGCGAATGGCGTGTTAGGCTAGCCCTATGCACAAGTGTAGGAATTTTACGTCAGACCCAGTTGGATGTGATGGCACCCGACATGAGTGTAATCTAGCCATGCAATATGCTAATATGCATAGGCTGGCATGCAGGACTGGTAGCGAGTATGGCGTGTGAAGCTTGACATGAGGTCAAGTTCTGGGTGCAGAGGTGACAGAGGCAGGGGGCAGATGAAGACGGATGTGAGAGGCAGTGCAGAGCGTTTTTGCTTACACCATGGGTGCCTGACGGAAGCAGAGCTTACGGTTAGTCCTGATGCAGAAAATATGCTCACTTACCGGAGGCAGCACTTGAGTCTGTGGCCCATCAGCTGCTCACCGACATTGCCAAGAAGGCTTTTCGCGCAATGGAGGCTTGCCACGTTTTGTACGACATGCTATGGTAGGCGGATGACCACGCCAGCTACGCAAGTGGCTTGATGTCCGACATCCAGGAGGCAATCATTTGCGAGCACTTGGACATGCGTGCGTTCAGAATTTGGTGGGTTATGCAGTCAATAGCACAGAGACACGGCTACTGTGGTTTCCCGCAGTTTGGTTACACTGTGCCTAGAAAAGCCGTGCAAGCCTACAGCAAAGAGCGCGTGCTCGCAATAATACACTGCCATCAGCGTAGTGCGTCCGCAGTAAATGGCCAAGGCAAGGGTTAAGAACTTGAGCATGAAATGCCACCAGATGCCACCAGCGCTTCAAATTGGACAGGGCGTTTGCTCCTCTACGCGTTTGAGTGAGCAAGTGCTGGAACATGTGCCATCCGCGCATGTGAAGTACCACCGAAACGTATTGGAGCCGCCCAGCTGGCCAGGGCTTCCTGCAGGCAGAGCTGGCCAATGCCCTGCAGGCCTAAGGCCTCCTCGTTTGGACCATCCTTTCAGTCTTTTCCGAAGCAGGCAGCGACAAACCGTGCGGCGAGCTCTGTGACTGCTTCGATAGCAGGCAAGGAGCTTAGGGTGGAGTGCCGCTCCTGTGAAGTGGTGGATGTCAAGATCTGAGCGCATGCGCGTTGCAAGATGCTGAGTCAGACTGCCAGACGTGCAAGACTTGCTTGGCGGAGGCAGCGCTGCTCCTCTTGGATCTGAGGGCAGTCTTACTGCCTCTGCCTCAGCCTCCGGACACCCTGACCTTGGCTCAGCGGATGATAAAAGTCAAGATTTGTTGAGCCAAGCCAAGCCTATCTGAATTTGATCGGACATCATTTCTGAACCAGATGCAGTCTCCATCCCCTAGGTGGCTGAGCAGATTGCAGCTGCTGCAATGGCAGCTGCCGCTGCACCGCCGTCCACTGCAGCAACGGACAGCAACATGTCGCAGGCGCAGGGTGCATGCCAGTGGAGCTGGCCATGTGAAAAGTCGCATAGAAAGCAACGCTGGAGCTGCCTTCATGACCCCGTTTGGCAGGATGCCTTTGAGATCCCCTTGGCCGCATCCCTGGCTCGCAAGTCATAGGCCTGTCGCAAGCAAACAACAGGGAGCCTGGCAAGATCACGCAAGATCTGCTCTTTGTAGCGGGCTGGCAGTATTGAGCTTGCCAGAATGGGGCCCAGCGGCTTTGCAAGTGCATTCAGCCGTGCCAGATGATTGCCAAGGCGAGCTTCGCCACCCTGGGAGCAACTCCAACAGTGGCGAATGCCTCAGTCAAAGTTACTGACCTAGGCTTCTGTACGTTCAGCAGCGAATGATCGAATAGATCGCCAGCCAACACAAAAGTCAATTCTTGTCTGCTGTTTGATGGTGGGCAAATGGGTGGAGAGTCGTCCTTCAAGTCAGCGCAGGGGATTTGGAGACCGAGTTCTGCTAAACGACTGGGCTGTTTGCAGGTGTCTATCGAATCCGCCAGAAGTCCTGGTGGTCGTGCCCTCGGTCTTGCGCACTTCTTGTTTACAATATTCAAAAAAACATGGGGTATCTCTTCATTGTAGCTGCCGGCCCAGGTGCTCCACAACCAGTTATGCCGACAGAGGACGTTGTTATGTTTTCCATGAGCCTGTATGTGGCGCCTTGCAACAACAGATCAATCTGTTTGCAGGACCGAACCCCGTCGGCATCATCTGGACCAGGCGATGCCAAGGAATTGGGGGCAGAGATGGCCGCCAAAGACTTGGTGACGGACATCACCAACGAACAGGACGCCCGGGGGGTTAGGTCTAACCTCGGCCTCAGCTTGCTTGGCTATTCTGAAGCCTCTAATAAATATCCCCTAAGCATTGCCAGACGCAAGAACTTCTGGTGGCCAGGGCTTTTTGCAAGCAGAGCTGGCCGACGCTTTGCAGGCCGGCCCAAGCAAGTCCATGCCCACGGCACATAAAAGAATTGGCAGCGCATCGGTCCATCTTTGCCACGTTTCTATGCACTCACGCACGCAATGCAATGGCAGGCCGCAACTAACAGAGCAGCTGCTTCTGCGACGGGCTCTATAGAAGGTGGAACGCCGTGTCCGTCATTTGCATCTGCGTTATGCCAGCAGCTTGTGCACAGAGATTTCATTGTCCATGCGATGCACGTGCAGGCACTGCCGTAGTACAAGACTCTGAGGGCAGCATGACCGTCTGCGGCTTTGAGCACTTCCAAAGACCGTGAGCTTCAGGCGTCACCGCTTCACATAGCCTCACCTGTTCAGGTTGCCGAGCGCCTTGCAGCAGCTGCAACAGTGGCAGTTGCGGCCCCAGCGTCCACGGCCGCCATGGAGACCGAGGTTTCGCAGGTCCGAGCCCTCACTTCCTACACATGAGCTATAGTCTAAACTCCTTAAAGGGGTAGTATAGGGAATACATAAGGGATTATATAGGGGAGTATTCTAGGGGTTATTGAGGGGATACTAGGAGTTTAGACTATAGCTCACATGTTTGCTGAACACAGCTGTGAAGACCTGGGGTGGATGCTAAAAATCGTGCATGACCCTAACTACCTTGCACCTTGGGAATAACGGTACTCTAGTGGATTAAGGTCATGCAGGATTTTTAGTATCAACAGCAGGACTATTCAGCGATCCCTCCTTTGGCACCCCTCTCAGAGGGACTCTGCTCAGGAGCTCAGACTTGCATGTCAGGCAGCCTGCTCTCTAAGGCAAGCTTTGCAGCCGTTGGGGCTACGCCGACCGTGGCAAGAATCCCAGAACCAGCGCCGAAACATTCCTGAAAGACCTAGAGCGCAATACAACAACAAACCACATGACAGAGCACGATAAATGGTAAGGTGTGGGTGTTGGTTCCATGCGCCAACAAGCTTATTTCTGCAGGTTTCCATACAATCGCTTGGGAGCCATGGTCACGCGCTCAGTATGACTTTCCCCAGCACCTGTGGCATCGGAAGGTTAGCAAGCAACATGTGCTGAGCAGGTGCTTCACGACCAACTACTGGCGCAGAGGCATTGGTCCAGTTGTGCTCAAGCAAACCAGCCAGCTTCAGTTCAATTTCCTAGCCGCACGTGGAGGCGACCGGGGCGGAAGTTGTCCAGGAGGTGTGGAGCTTGTGGCATGTGGTGGTGTCGAACCGCTCGATTTGCTCAGGAACGGACCCCATCAGCCTCATCTGCGCCGGGCGATGCCAAGGAGCTTGGTGCCGAGATGGCAGCCAAAGACCTCGTCTCGGACATCACCAACAAGAAGGAAGCACGGGAACTACACAATGTAGTGGCAAACTGTTGTAGAAGGATCATTGTATCATGTTCGCTCGGCAGTCTTGCATGAGGAAGCGCCCACTCCGTCCGACTGCGCCCTGGCGGAAGGATGTGTTGCTGGTAGGGGAAAATAAATGCACGGCAAGTCCGAATTTGCCACTTCACAAGTTCTGCTGCCTTGACATACGTGCTGGGTGTTCTTGGGCAAACTATTTGTTCTTGGGCAAACTATTTCGGTTCTGAGATGTACTGTATGAGGCTCTGGAGAACCTGGCGTCACAGAAGCTGCGCTCGACGTTGCAGTCCAGCAGCTTGTGAGCGACATCGCTAACAGCAACAAGGCCTTGAAGGATATACTGCAACAGCGATGACTGCAATGCCGGTGCCAGATGTGTCTGTTTGCACGGTTGCTTCCGCAGTGGGCCGAACAATGAAGCGTGACGTCGTTAGCAGCTGTAGATTTACCGCCCCTAGCAACGGCCTAGAATTGAAACGCTGATGTAAATGCTGGTGCAACGCCGGATTGACTGCTGGGTTCGCAGAGGGTGGGCAATCTGCGGGGAGCTCGTAGGAAGCCGGCATGCCAGGAGGTCCATGTTTGTGCAAAGGGCACGCGATGCGGCGTAAAAACAGGCCACGATGTTCATTGTCAGCTGCTTTGCCGAGTTCTTTTCAGGTGTTGGGGTGCCGCTGGAAGACCGAGTTCTTTTCTAGGGACACGAAAGTCGTCACTGAAAAAAAATAACGGGCCTTCCCGTCACACCCCAATAAACTCACGCACAAGAAACTTGGTCTTCCACGCACATGCCCATGTTTGAAAAAGAACTCTGGGCAAAGCAGCTAACAATCAACATCCCGGCGTCTTTTTCAATGTGCACTGGAGGCTTGAGCAAGGCTTTGGCATCCATTGTGCGCAACAGCTTTGTAAAGCGACTCATGTCTTTGGCGTGCAAGTGTACCCATATGGGTAGCGGGAGTAGGTCATGTCTCTTGCCTATGAGAAATGGCTTTTCTTTATCTTGAGGCACAGTTTCCACTGTGCTATCAGCTGCAACGCTGCAGCAAGCAACCAGGTCACCAAAGCTGAGCAGAGCCAGAATTGTGTCTACATGCTTGGTGAGCTCAGCATGGACCCTATAGCATTTTCTTGGGATTTCTTTGTTGAGCGCTCTTTTCTTCTCGTGGTAGTATTGAAATTGGCTTGCCTGTTGTGGTTTGAGTGTTTCCTCAATGGTATGCTCGTTAGAGTTGAGGGCTCCAGGTTCATTGCAAGGCCATGGTGATGAAAGGCAGAGAGGGTGGCCTAGGCTGGAGATGTGTAGGACAGGTCTTTGTCTGAAAGCCGTCATAGTACACAGAACAACTGTCAGCAGTCGTTGCTGCTAGTAGCATTTGCTGGCTGCAGCACCCGCAGGTTGATGCAATGGGGGATGACAGGGACACCAATACCATCAGATCCGACCCTACCGCAGAGGCCCGGCCTCTCACAAAAGCATGTGTCACTGCGCAGAAATTCCATAAATTCTGTCGAAACTGCTAAGGCTGCCGACGCCGCAAAAGCCGTGCAGGACAGCTGAAGAGAATTGAAGAGACCTGTGCACAATATACTGTCAAATACCATTGCCAATAATAAGCAGTAATTTGCATCAATGCCACCCACACTCCGCCATCCAAACAAAAGATCTTAGCTGTAAGGCCGCAGCTAACGCCGCAGCGCCGGCCTCTGCGACAGATGCCTCCCTGATCGGCTGCAGCCTCACAAAAGGTGGTTTCTTTGGGGACTAGAAGTGATTCTGCTGGGTTGCAGAGGGATTTCTAGGGGCTCACGTTGAATTACGTGAAGGATTATGATACACTGATACATATAGAGATTGAAGACTTACTGGGTTGGTCTTGTGTGGAATTTTGTTTATGATTTAGGTGCTCATGGCAATGTAAGGATTCTGCAGGCATCATGCTGAGGTGTTTGCTTACCAGCTTCCACAAATGCTTTTGCACCAGCAGTAGGAATGAATTCTACAGAAAGGTTATCACCAGCAGACAGATCACGGGGGACTCCCTGCGCAAGGAGGTCTAGATCCTCTAAGTTCTTTGGAGGTTTGATTTGCGGCCACAGGGTTAGATTTGATGAAGGTTGGTCACTAGGGACAATCCGTCAATATGCAACAATCTATCAACAATCTACCTGTGGTCAAGGAACTGCGGGCACCGGGTGCGTGGCACCGGAACTGCCAAAAGAGGAGGCCCATGGTGTTGGGCGTAGGTCTTGTGGCTTGTGGCGAAGACCTGTGCCTTGGTTTAGCTGCACCCGGGACTGGGAGAGCATCTTAATGCAACAGGCAGCGTCGGCAACCGATGCCATGACCAGCGTAGCTTGGAAGCAAGTGCAGTGGGGCAGTGCTGCTGGAAGTTGATCAAGGGAAAAGCAGGATTACAGCGATTGCCCTCGGCAAAGGTTGCTGACCCATCTGGTCCTGCAGTGGCCCCATCATCCTTGAAGCCGCCGGAGTCCACAGCAGCTATGGAGTCTGAGAGCTCCCAGGCGGACTTGCATGTCGTAGGGCACAACTGGACACAGTTCGGTACCGCTTCAGATCCTTTTCATTCTTAGCAGGCCCCCATCCCCAGCGACCTCGCCAAGACGACGGTGCAGGTAGGGTTTGGAAGCAAACCAGGCACAATCGTCCTTGCTGCCTTTGGCTGAGGCGGCCTTGGAAGCAGATGCGGCGGAGGCGGCCCGGGCTGCTGAAGCCGCCAAGGCAGCCGCGGAGGAGGCAGCGCGAGCTGCCGAGGCGGCCAAAGCCGCGGAGCAGCAGGCCGACCTGTGCAGGACCAGCATTGTTGGACCTTGTCTCTGCTTCCCACGCACCAGGTGCAGCAGGCAGTTGTCGCAGCTTCCTTCCAGGCACTGCAAGATTGAGAGAGCATATAGCTGCATAGCCAGCGCCAAGCTCGCGCTCCGCCAGGCAATGGACACCAACAAAGATGGCGTTGTGTCCAAGGAGGCCTGCCGAGTTCTTTGATTTCTGGCAATGGTCAGGGCAAGCATTGGCTCTTTTCGAACCTTGCGCAGGAGTTCGAGAGCTACGTGGCCAAGGCATCTGAGGCATGCCCAGTGGTGGTGTCTTCAGAATAGTAGCGATGGTGCAGCACTTGGCTCCGGCAATTGCATGCCCATTCAGCAATTAAGAGGGACAGGCTTTGAGTTGCAAAGGGTGGCAATGCCTTTGGGCAAGTGACATATGTCCGGGGGGCACAATCAGACATGGTTGTCGCAAAAGATTGACCATCCCTAACAGCGCAGGGGGGAAGTGAGGAGGTGATTGCAAGGCATGAGAACAGCAACATCAACATCTTGACTTTCGTAAAGGCCATAGCCGGCATCCAAAGCAGATGATGGAAAGACGTCTTGCCCGCTCGCCGGCCTTTACATCGTATTTTTCACTCCTTGTGATTCCCCAGTATTCATAGGTCCTCCTAGCCCAACCTTGAGAAACACCCATTTTCCATTTCATGTCCATGTTCTTTGCCATCGCCCTACACCCTGAACCCCAAGTAATACCTTCCATTTGGTCCATATACCGCAATGTATCCCTACATAACCCCTAGAAAATTTGGCTTAACACATGGGCAGCTGCAGGCACCAAAGGAGCTGCAGGTGGAGCCGGTCGAGGCATCTGGCTCGCACAGCTTGAGTATCGTAGGATATCAGGATACATCAGGCACGTTCAAGTAGGGATGATAAGGGCACTCCACGTACACTTGATCCCCCAACGAGCTTTAGATGGCTTGCGAACCTCCAGAACATTGCAATGCTCGAGGAGGAGCCGTGACCAGGGCTGTTTTGTTCTTGTACGATTATAGTATATTGTAGTATATTATAGTATAACAAGCAAGTAGTT